CCCCTATGCCAAGGTGCCATTAGCCAAGGTGGGCACCGTCATGGGGCCTGGATGTTGGATCTGTACAATGGGGCCACTGTGAGCCCTGCCCACCTCACAAAACTACAAAGATGAGGGAAAACATGTTGTAGATTACAAAGTTCTGTGTAGAGAGAGGTGACTAAGGGTTCATAGCAGGTCTGCTCCTAACAGTCCCAAACTGGAAAGAACCCAAATGGCAATCAACAGTGGAATGGATAAATACATTGTGGTTTCTTCACATAATGGAATACAACATAGCAATTAAAAAGAATGAGCTCCTGCAACCCACAAGAACACGATGAGCCTCCCAGACATAATGCTGAGCGAAATACGCTAGACACAAAAGCAAACATACTGTGTGATTCCATTTCAATGAACATTCAAGAACAAGCAAAACTGATCTCTGATGATACAGATAAAGATAGCAATTACCTTTGGGGCATATTGACTTGAAGGAACATAGGGGTTGCTTTTTGGGTGCTGGGAATGTTCTAGATCATGATCTGGTTCTCATGTATGTACAAATCTATCAGAATGTACATTTGAGTTTTGTATAATTGAGAGTGTGATTCAAACCCCAATTAGAAAAAGGAATATGATTAGAATTATTATTTGGAGCACCCTCTGTGTCAGAAGGTAGGAAGGATTTTGGGAGGGGTATTTAAAGTGATTTTGCTGCTACTTCTCTCCCGCTTTCCTCCATCCCCTCAGCCTCTCCCCAGAAAGGAAGGACTTGTTTCTCAAAATTCCTTTATTCCATCCTTCTATCCCTTTATTGGCACTCCTACTATGGACTAGGTACTATTCGGGAAGCTGGGGTGTAACCTAGCTCTCAGCCTTCCGATGCGCAATCAACACATAGATAACATTGACTGTGAGCCGGCACTGAGGCTCTACCTCTACCAGCAGGAGCATTTTCTCTCAAGCACGTCCAAGTGGCAGAGAGCTGGGCACAGAATATCTGTGATTCTTTCCAAGTTTCAACTATCGTTCCAAGAAAGGAGAAAGGTGCCTACTATATGCCAATGTGCATTTAATCCTCTGCAACCCAGCTCACATATCTGGAAAGTAGCGGGGGTAGGGTTCAAACCCAAGTAGGTCTGATTCCCGTACCCTGCCCTTCCCAACACTCCCATGGCCTCCTAGCTGCCAGGTCTGCATTGCCCTGTCTCTGGGCATCTGTAGTGTCACCCTCCAAGATGGCCCCCACTGATTCTTGCCTCATGGTATTCAAGCCCTTATGTAGATTCTTTCCACACTGAATAAGGCTGACCTATGTAACCAATAGGATATTGCAGAAATAACAGTGTGTCTTCCAAGGATAGTGTATAAAAGACATTGTGGATTCTGCCTTGCTCTCTCTTGAATCATTCATTCACTCTTGGGAAACCAGCCACCATGTTGTAAGGACACTCAAGCAGCCGTATGGAGAGGTTTGTGTGGCGAGAAACTGAGGCTACCTGGCAACAGCCAATCCCAACTTGATAGCCACATGACAGAACCACCTTGGAAAATGATCCTGTAGCCCGTCAGGCCTTGAGAAGACTGCAGCCCCAGCCAACATCTCAACTGCAACCCCATGAGAGACCCCTAGTCAGAACCAGTCAGCTAAGCCACTCCCAACATCCTGACACCCCAAAACATTTATTATCATGAGATAATAAGTGTTTGATGCTATTTTAAGCTACTAAATCTGGGGGCCATTTATTACACCATATCACTCCATATACATAACACAGCCCCTGTCAGAACCATCGCTTCGTGCTGCAGGAACAGTCTGAGGGTGGTGTGTGAAGGCATTAGGAAGCAGCCACTTAGCGGAGGAGTGGCTAGAGCAGGCTGAATAGGGAAGGATCAACATCAGCAAGAAACCCCAAGTGCATGGTGGTACTGTGAAAGGAGACCAAGCAAAGCTGAAACCCTGGAGCCATCTCTCCTAGAAATTTCTCACACACCTCATCTATCTCAGTAAGTGAAACCATGTGCACCCAATTACTCTGGCCAAAACCTGGGAGTCATCTTTAAGCCCACTCCCACTCTCACACCCAACATCCAATGGCTCAGTGAGGCTCCAGCTCTCCCTCAGAAGGCATCCCAGACCCAGCCCCTCCTCACTGCCTTTCTGGCGAGCACCATGGACTAAGCCACCAGGCTGTCTCGAGTAGGCAACAGCAGCGGCCTCTTGGCCCATGTCCCTACTCCCATCCGGGTGCCTGCTCAAGGCCAGAGTGGCCTTCTCAGAGTAGAAATCCAATCGCATCCCTCAGGCCCAAACTCCCCAGCACTCACTACTCTCCAGCCCTCTTTCAAGTGTAACAAGCTCCTCTCACCTCAGGGCCTTTGCACCTGCTCTTTCTCCTCCCCTACATCATCATCTGGGTCCCACCTCACACAACTCTTCCTCCAAGGAGTCTTCCTGGGCTACCTTAGCAGAATTCTTCTCTAACCCGTTGCTCCAGCTCATTCACTTCAAAACTTGCTTGCCTATTTAGTGCCTGTCTCCCCTATTGCAAGACACATGAGGGCCAAGACCTTCTCTATCTGTTCACTTGGAACAGTGTCTGGCTCATGGAAGGAGATTACTAAACATTTATTAATGCATCCTGCCTAGAAGCAGGGGATGGACAAGATGACCTCCAAGTTGACAAGGCTATAAAATCCACAGTATAGAGCTCTGCTGTGGCTCTGTGGCTCCCGCTGCCCTTCCCAGCAGGAGAAAAAGGCAGGGCAGCAGTAAGAGCTGTGGTTTCAGGGAGAGACCCACCAGCTGGGTGGAGCGCTCACCACCAGTGGGTCCCATTCCCTATAGAGGAAACTCCTATACAAAGCCCATCTGTCTCTCTGGTTACTGCCCTGCCAGTATACCCTCTCCTCCACTTAGGTGGCCTCCTTGAGCAGGGCAGAGCAGGACTGCTGCAGCCTGGTGCATTCTGAGCCCCCAGCACACGTGAGACTCCTGAAGTAGGCTATGCCCCCAAAAAGTCATCTTTGGTATTTACCTGCTCCCATGCACAAGGCTACTGCATGACAAGGGGCCATCTGTCACATCTTTCTGGGCCTCTCTGGGCTACCCATCTCCCCTAATCAGATCCTCACTGCCCGTAAGTTTATCCCATTATCCTCCCTAAATGTATCCTGCTGCTGTCAAGAGATGGAAAGAAAAAGGAGGAGTGGCAGGCAAGGATGGAGAAATGCATGCCAGTAGGCAGTGAGGGACAAGGAGAAGGAAGCACAAAGGCCCAGGGACAGAGAGTAGGTGAAGAATTACACTGGGACACCTTGAGGATGTCACTCAACCTGGGGTGCCTCAGTTTCCTCATCTGTAAAACAACAGGATCTTTTGGCCAATGTTTTATGCTCTAAAGGAATTAAAAGAACAAAGTCTGATAATGCGTGTGAAATGCTGTCTAAGATCCAAAGCACTGTACAAATGTCCATTGCTATTAAGAGAAAAGGTTGCAGGAAGGGCAGGAAGAAGGGGTAGATTGGGGAGGAGCAAGAAAACTGGAAAGTTCTGGTGTTTAAGGCAAAAAAAAACAAAAAACAAAAAAACTCTGCTCTGGATAAACAGAACAAGGAGGGAGGTGGAAGGAGAAGCAGAAACGTACTCTCTCTCCAGGGGAGAATAGGCTGAGGGAGGCCGCAGGAAAGCAGAAGACAAGGGAAGGGGCAGAAAACTCACTGCATGGAGGTACCTGCTGCAAGCCAGGCCCTCCGCACCTCTGCAAGGGGAGCATTCCAAGCTGGAGTCTACAGATGGAGACGCCCTCCAGCAAGGTGTGTGCTTGGCTTAAGTAAAGTTTCTTTGGAGGAAGATTCCTTCCAGACCTGCTTGATCCATCAGCACCCCTTCCCCAAGGTGACACTTGTCCCTCCAAGTTCCCAGCAGCTGAGCATCAGTCACGACATTTTTGAGCACCCACCCTATGCCAGGCACTGGGCTGGGCACTTCACATACATTATCTCATTGAATTCTCATAACAACTTTATGAGGTAGGCTTCTTATTCCCATATCCCTGAGGATGAAACAGAGGCTCACAGAGGTACATACCTTGCCCAAGGCCACCCAGCTAATAAGAAGCAAAACATGAAATGCACCAGATACAGGTCCCCAACTGCTCAATGAATGCTCCTTTTGGAAGCATCTTCTTCTACTCCCTGAACTCCTTGAAAGATCAAATACGAAGAGCAAACGCAGGGAGTGAAAGGGCAAGGAGGGTTACAAGCAACGATGGGAGAAGGTGCAGACATTTGCTGCAAGGGAAAGGCAAGGAATGCTGTTTCCACCCCCGGACAGAGGTGAGCCATTGGACAGAACCATTTCCTTCCCAAACTCATAACCCATCTTGGTGCGGATCCCCCACCCCCTGTTATTCCAAGAAGCTGATATATGACTCCTGGGTCCAAACCTCAGTGGATACATCAGGGGCTGAGCCAGCCTGGCCAACCAGGGCCCAGCAATCCCTCCAGTCTTCTTGCCTCAGTTTCCCTCTCCCACCAAGACCAGCCAGGAAATACTCACGGGGAAACTGAGGACCAAAAGGAGACCTGGCCAATAAAGAGGAAGGGACAGTCTCTCAGGGGGTTCCAGACCAACCAATCCTGACCCCCGACCTCATTCTCCACTTAGGCCACCCACCCGCTTCTCCTGCCCTGGGGGTCCTGTGGCTGTAGACACTGAGGTTTTCTAGTTGGCCAAATTGGGCCAACTGGGGCTTTGCACGGCCCGGGGTAACCGAAATGGATCCCCTCCCCCTTCCCCTCTCCCCCTTGAGAACTAGCAGAAACACCTTGAAAGGCCGCTCCCTCGGAGCTCAGTCCCCACCAGACACCCCCAGTAACCGCCCAGATTGCGCGCCGCGCCCCCAACTCACATCCCCCGACTCCCCAGCCTGCCCCTGCCCCCGCCCCCGGGCCTTCGCCTTCACCTTGACCTGCGCCCGCTCCCAGGCCCAGGCGCTTTGCATAAACAAAGAGAGGAGGAGGGACGCCCCGGGCACCGCCCCCGCCCCGCCGGCGCCCCCGCTCCAGTCTGGGACCCCGAGCCAGGCCTGTCCCAAGTCCTCCCGGGCCCGCCAGCCCGCGGCCCCTTACCTTGGCCTGGCATTTCCGATGACAGGAGAAGCTGCAGACTGCAAGAGGGCGAGACACAGAAAGAAAGTTTTAGCCGCGAGGTATGAAATGGAAACTCCGCGAAATCTCCTCCCACCCCAGCCCGCAATCCGCGCTCGGGAGGGAAGGAGGGAAGGAGGGACGGAGGGAAGGAGAGAGGGAGAGAGGGAGGGGACGGAGGGGAGCGGCTGCCGGGCCTGCGGGGCGGGAGCGCCCGGGACTGCGGACCCGCGGCCGGGGAGGCAGGGGGCTCCCAGCGCCAGAGCCTCCCCGGGTGCGGGAAGGTGGGGGGAGCAAGGGGGAGTCCCCCACTGGACCCCTGCCAGGGGCAGAGGTAGCCCGGACCCGGGCCCCACGCCAGCCCCACCAAGGAATAAGGGGGGCCTTCTCGCCTTACACACACACCAGGCAAGCAGACGACATCGCAAACCACAATCACACTTACTCTGACCCAGAGGCAGACACACAGACCCAATTCAGAATCCAGGGGAGGGTCCACGAGTATACACATTACACCCACACACACACACTCACCCAGAACCACTCCCACCCATCCATACATCCGTGCACACACACACAGCGTCACACACAGATTCATCCAAGAAAACCCCTGACCCAGGGCACCAACACACACGATTTTGTGGGACACCCTTAGATGCAGCCTGACACAGATTTGTGAATACAGACATGTGAACAGAGGCTCACATAAACTTCATGTGCATGATTTGAAACACACACACATACACACACACACACACACACACACACACACACACACACAGGACTTGCTCTTCTTCCTATTACCAGAAGTTGGAATCAAATTTCCTATAAGGTTCCCAAAGCCTGGAATGTCCCCAGCCCTGCTGCCCCACCCCCCAGGGCTCTGGGACTCCACCAAGGGATTTGGTGACCTCCCTGCAGATCTCATGGGTGGGTGAGGGGTCTCCTGGGTTCTGCACTGCTTTGGGTCTTGTTGGCTGCCCAGGACCTGCTAAGGCTGGGGGGTTAGGAACTCTGGTTAGAGAAATGGGGAGGGCAAGGTAGGGGAGTGCTCTGACTCCAAATCCTCACAGCCACAGCCCAGGACCACAGCCTTCCACCTCCTTCTCCTAGATCTACTGCACCCCACCCCCTTCCAGCTTTGAACCAGCCTGATTCTCAGCAGAGGGCAGAAAGGGAGGTTGAGGCACAGACGAGGACCAAGAGCAGCCCAAAGAGGCTCCAGGGTTCCCCACACTAAGGCTTCTTCTGGTTTGTCTGAGGCAGAAGGGGCTGGCAATGGGGAAGAGGGAGAAGCTGGGAGGCACACTGGGTGGTGCCTGGAAAGGGACCTTGGCCACTGTCCCTAACATGGGATCTTCTCTCAGAACCTAGTCCTGGCCCAGCCCAGGCCTGTGACTCACCGGTGCTGAGCAAAGCTTTCCTGACCCCACCAGCCACCCAACCCAGCTCAGGGACATCTCCACCCTGGCCACAGCAGGATATACTCCCCGCTCAGCCACACAAGCGTTACCATCCCTCTGACCTTTCTGCTTCTCCCTCTCCCTCAGCACCCCCACCAGCCCGGGTAGCAACTCCCTCCCTTCGCAAAGGTGTTCCCTTTTGGATAGCAGCAGCCTCTCCTGCCCCACCCCATCCAAATAGAGGAAACTTCCCCTTTGTGGGTCTGACAATGTATGCTCCTTTCTAGGGGACCTGCCTCTCTCTCTCTCCTACAGAGAGAGAGGGGGGGGGGAGGGAGAAAGAGAAGGAGAAGGAGAAGGAGAAGGAGAAGGAGAGAAGGAGGGAGGAAGGAAGGAAGGAAGGAAGGGAAGAAAGGGAGGGAGGGAAGGAAGGAGGAGCCTGGTACACAGGCGAGGCTTAATAAATGTTTGCTGAGTTGGACCTGTCTGAAGATCTCCCCTGAGGTTTACACGCACCCCCATTTAGTCATGTCCCCCCCACTCTCAGATCGTTCCTGAGCTGTAGACCGCCACCTCAACGTCTCATGTCCAACCAAAAAGGAGTTTCTAAGTATCCACCCAGTCTAGACATGAGGGACACAATAGGGGCCGGACTCTACCTCCCTCCAGCATGCTCCATACTCTGACAGTTCCCAGAGTGCCTCAGGGCCTTGGCACTTGCTGTGTCAGCTGCCTGGAACACTCCCCCTCACCCCAGCACCCCATCGTTCCCTGGACCGAATCCCTCTTATCCTTTGGGAATCCACCCAAAGTCATCTCCTCAAAGAGGCCTCCCCTGACCACTCAAATTAGAGTAGCTTTCCAATTATTCTTTTTCAGCACCCTGGTTATTTTCTAAAGTTGCCCTGGGTAACTTCTCTCTAGTCTATCTCCACACACTACACTCAGGAGGGCAGGAAGCATGCCTTTCTCCTTCGTACTGTAGCCCCAGCAGCTAGAACAGTGTCTGCTTCAGGCCCACGAGACCATACAGCATCTTTGTGCAAACTAGAAGGAGGCCCACCCTCTGGGCAGACCAGCCCTGGGGACACACAGCTGGGTTCATGCACAGTGTCTTTGTGGAAATGGTGAGAAGGTGCCCTTTCTCCAGGCAGATCGGCCCTGTGCCAAGATGCATGGCTTGGTAGGCAAAGGGTGGGCTGACTCCTGTGCTGTCTCGGGTAGGCACCCTTGGCAGCACATGGCCTGCATGACTGTACAGGGCAGCCCTGCCTGTCACACAGTGGGCACACACTCAGCAAATGCCCTCAAGCGAGGAGGCAAACGGAGAAATCATCAGGTAATTGCAATACGCTATGCTGAGTGCTTCCTGCACACTGGAATGCAGAAAGCTTGTCCTTGGCAGCTCTACAGAGGAGAACGAGGGAAGACCACCCCCACTCCAGCTCCCAGCCCAGAAGACAAAAGCTTAGCAAACTGAAAGCAAGTGGCAGATGCCAAGCAGGGCAGGCTTGGCCAAGCCCCCATGAATGGATATTGACACCTGCAGAAGCATCCGCCTCCAACCCCAAGGAGGCCCGCTTGCTGAGTTTCCTCCAGGGAAGTCCCCTATGCATGCCTGTCCACCTATCTCACATCTCCTCCCAACGGACAGTATGTCCTCCTCTCTAACTTGCGTCCCTCTTGCTGTAATCTCAAGTTTGGGCCTGCCAATCTGCTGGCCTCTCACTTTCAGATCGATGAAATATTCAGATGGGTTACAGAAAGGGAAACTGTGGCAACCAGCCTCGCAGGTAGCTGCCAATATTTCTTGCGTCTGCTACTCATACCCTTCTGGAGTCCCCTCCACACTAAATAGGGCTGATTTATATAATCAGTCAGATATTATAGAAATGACAGTGTGTGACTTCTGACGCTAAACCATAAAAGACACTTTGACTTCAGCCTTGGTCTGTTGGATCATTTGCTCTGGGCCAGTGACCATGTCATGAGAACACTCAAGCAACCCTATGGAGAGGGCTGTGTGGTGAGGGGCTGAGGCCTCCTGCCAATAGCCAGCCCCAGCTTGACAACATTAAGTGAGCCATGTGGTAACTGGATCCTCCAGCCCCAGTCAGGCCTTCAGATGAATACGGCCCCAGTGACATCTTGACTGCACCTTTTATAAGACACTCCGAGCCAGAACCACCCACCCAGCCAATCACTCATGAATTTCTGAGCTGTGGAAACCATGTGGAATAATAATTTTGATTTTTTTTCTTTTTTCTTCTTTTTTTTTTTTTTTAGACATGGTCTTGCACTGCTCTGTCACCCAGGCTAGAGTGCAGTGGCACAATCTCAGTTCACTGCAAGCTCCATCTACCAGACTTAAGCGATCCTCCCACTTCAGCCTCCTAAGCAGCTAGGACTACAGGCATGTGCCACCATGCCCTGCTAATTCTTGCATTTTTTGTAGAGAGGGGGTTTTGCCATTTGTCCAGGCTGATCTCGAACTCCTGAGCTCAAGCAATCCTCCTGCCTAGGCTTCCAAAAGTGCTAGGATTACAGGAGTGAACTATGGTACCCAGCCTGTATTTATTTTAAACCACTAAGTTTATGGGTAATTTTTTATGCAGTACTAGATCACTGATATCAGAACACAAGACCCATCAGAATGCAAGAGCCAAAGGTAGCAGATGCTGGGAACCAAGGCCAGAGGCCATCTTCTGGGTCCTACCTTGCCCCTTGGTGCCTGCAAACCCTCGCTTTAACTCCTTCCTCACTTCCCTTACCCTACCAAGTAATTAGTCATTGTGTTCCAGAAAGTAACTCTTAAGAGGCTAATGTATTCTGTAACAGCCCAACTAAGACACCCCCCACCACCATTGCCACCTACCCCTTCCTCCCTTCAACAGAGAAAGGGGAAAAACCCAGTTTCCAACCCTGGGAACATCAGATACTGCTGGGGAGACAGCCAGTTTATGAATGACAGGGACCAGTCTGTGAGTGACAGGGATGCTCACTCCACAGGTACCATTTCTCATCAGAAGGATGGGGACACGCAGTGAGGAACAAGAGCAGGAAAACCCCAGCCTTCTCTTCTCCTGAATCCTCCACAGAGACACATGTCAGGATGGGCCCCCACCTGAGCAGATCATGACCTCCCAGCTCCTACAGAAGGCCCCAAAATTACAAACTCACCCATGCACCCTCCTGAACCAGTGACCTTGTCCAACCAGAGCTCCATGGAGCCCCAGGAGCCCCATCTCTGCCACAATATCAGCACTGCCCCTGCACAGCAGGGCCCAGTGGTGGCCTGAGAGGGAGCAGAAAACCCCTTAGTGGAAAGGGACCCTTAGATTACTCTGCTGGGGTGAAGAACTGCACCCCCAGCCCTTGGCCCCAGCTCCCGCCCCAGCTGGGCTGCCGGTACTCTGTCCTGGGGTTGCTTCCTGCCTCTCGGGAACACAGGAAGCCAACATTGTTGGGATCTAAATGGCCTTTTCCTCCTGGACTTGGGTCGGAAAATGAGCACATAGCCTCAGTGTGCACCTGACCCCGGCGATAACCACTCGCATGCCTGGTCCAGCTTCAGCTCCTTCCCTGGCCGGCACAGAGCCACAGGCCTGGCCACCTGCCTGCTCACCGGTCATTCAGCCTGCCCTGCTGGTTCATCTCCACGGCCTGGGCTGGAGGTGTGCGGTAGCTAATTTAATGAGTCAACTTATATAGGCCATGGTACTTAGATATTTGGCGAAACATTGTTCTGGATGTTTCTGAGAAAGTTGGTTGGTTTTTATTTTTTAGATGAGATTCACATTTAAATCAGCAAACTTTCAATAAAGCACATGACCCTCTATAATTTGGGTGAGCCTCATCCAGTCAGTTGAAGGCCTTAATAAATAAGACCGACCTCCTCAAGCAAGAAGGAACTCTGCCAGCACACGGCTCTGGACTCGAACTACAACAGGCAGGGGTACCCCGCCTGCCAACCTACCCTGCAGATTTTAAACCTGCCACAGCTCCACAATCACGTGAGACAATTCCTTAAATAAATCTCTATCTTTTTTTCTACACACATCCTGTTGGTTCTGTTTCTGCAGAGAACCCTGACTGATACAAGGTGTCTCAAGGGATGGTCAGGGGACATGGTGTGGCTCTGAAGTAAGAACAGGAAGAAACCTTCCAGATCAAGCTTATCCAGCCCGCAGCCTGCAGGCCACATGTGATTCAGGATGGCTTTGAATGTGGCCCAACACAAATTCGTAAACTTTCTTAAAATATTATGAGATTTTTTTTTTTTTTTTTGCAAGGCAGGGGGGCATATAAGATGGTTTCTTATATGCACCCAACTCTTTCTTTCTTCTTTTTAGTCTTTCTTTCTGAGACAGGGTCTCGATCTGTTACCCAGGCTGGAGTGCAGTGGTGTGCTCACAGCTCACTGTAGCCTCGACCTCCCCAGGCTCAAGTGGTCCTCCCACCTCAGCCTCTGGAGTAGCTGGGACTACAGGTGTGTACCACCACACCCAGCTATTTTATTTTTTTATTTTGTTTAAAGATAGGGTCCTGCTATGTTGCCCAGGCTGGTATCGAACTCCTGGCTCAAGTGATCCTCCCACCTCGGCCTCTTTTTTTCTCCCTCCCCCAAGATGGAGTCTTGCTTTGTCACCCAGGCTGGAGTGCACTGGCATGATCTCAGCTCACTGCAACCTCCACCTCCCGGGTTCAAGCAATTCTCCTGCCTCAGCCTCCCAAATAGCTGGGATTACAGGTGCTCGCCACCATACCCGGCTAAGTTTTTGTATCTCTAAGTAGAGAAGGGGTTTCACCATATTGGCAAGGCTGGTCTCGAACTCCTGACCTCATGATCCACCCACCTTGGCCTCCCAAAGTGCTGGGATTACAGGTGTGAGCGACCGCACCTGGCCCCATTATGAGATTTCGTGTGTGTATGTGTGTGTGTGTGTGTGTGTGTGTGTGTTTTAGCTCATCAGCTATGGTTAGTGTTAGTGTACTTTACGTGTGACCCAAGACAATTCTTTTCCAATGGGCCGCAGGGAAGCCAAAAGATTTGACACCCTGTTCTAGACCATCCCATCCAGTAGTGTTCAGACTTTTATCTTTTATTTTTACAGCCAAATTCCTCAAGCAGATGGCTATGTGGAATCACAATGACTCTAGTTAAGATTCACTGAATGCAGCCGGGCGTGGTGGCTCACGCCTGTAATCCCAGCATTTTGGGAGGCCGAGGCAGGCGAATCACAAGGTCAGGAGATTCAGACCATCCTGGCTAACACGGCGAAACCCCGTCTCTACTAAAACTACAAAAAATTAGCCGGGCATGGTGGCTGGTGCCTGTAGTCCCAGCTACTCAGGAGGCTGAGGCAGGAGAATTGTTTGAACCCGGGAGGCGGAGCTTGCAATGAGCTGAGATCGCGCCACTGCACCCCAGCCTGGGCGACAGAGAAAAAAAAAGAAAAAAAGAAAAAAAAAGATTCACTGAATGCTTGCTATATATCAGGCTGTTTGGAGTCCACCATATATATATATATAATCTCGCTTAATCCCATAGTAACCTGATGAGGGAGGTACTGCTGTTTGTCACTTTTGTTTTTTTTTTTTTGAGATGTAGTTTCACTCTTGTTGCCCAGGCTGGAGTGCAGTGGTGAGATCTCGGCTCACCACAACCTCCGCCTACCAGGTTCAAGTGATTCTCCTGCCTCAGCCTCCCAAGCAGCTGGGATTACAGGCACGTGCCACCATGCCCAGCTAATTTGGTTTTTTTTTTTTTAGTAGAGATGGGGTTTCTCCATGTTGGTCAGGCTGGTCTCGCATTCCCAACCTCAGGTGATCCGCCCACCTCAGCCTCCCAAAGTGCTGGGATTACAGGCGTGATCCACCACGCCCGGCTTTTGTCCCATCTTAAAGTTAAAGAAACTGAAGCTGAGAGGGGTGAGCAATCAGCCCAAGTTCTCACTAGTAAGGCTCAGAGCGGGGATTTGAATCAGGTTATCTAAGTCAAGGGCAGGACCACCACAGGATCCTGCCTCCTGACGGATTTAACTCCTAAAACCAGAGCTTCTCTGACTGAGGTAGGCAGGGGTCCCAGAGCCCTGACCCCTTAAGACTCCCTTGGATTCATCTCTTTCTTACCCTCTTTGGCCCCTAAAGCTCCTCCAAAAACCTTACAGCTCCTTCAGAACACAGTTTAGAGCCTCTAATCTAGTCTCACCTCCTCATTTAGAGAAAAGAGAAAGCCAGACCCAGAGAGGTTAAACATCTCACCTGAGGTCACACAGCCAGGTGGTATTAGTAGCAAGCCAGGGCTAGACACCCAGGGTCTTCCCACCCTACCAGGCTACCTCTGGTGGTTCCAAGGAGGCCCTCAGACACAGGGTGGAAGCTGGGTTCCCCAGTGAAGTAACAGGGAGAAAGAGTTCCTAGAAACAAGGTTTCCCCAAATCCAGTGGGTGCCGGCTTCTGCATAGGCTTGTCCCGTTAAAGGATGGATCATCTTTCCAGGTGCATCCTGCCCTAAGGAAACTACAGGTGACTGTCACCCCTTCCAGGCTCACCAGAAGCACTGAGAATGGAAGTTATCTAAGTCTGGGCCCAGATCAGGCCCTGATGGCAGCCCTCAGGCTGCTGAGCTGCCATCCTGGTCTCTTCCTGTGGGTTTCGGCCTGGTGGGAGGTAGAGCCCCTGAGCAAAGCTCTGAGTCCACACAGCCTCCCTCTGGGGCCCCAAGTGCAAATGGACTCCCATAGAGCACTTCCCCAGGGACCTGTGGGAAGCCGACTATTTGGACTGAGGAACTCCTACACATCCCTCAAGACCCAATCTGCACATGCCTTCCCTGCTGAAGCCTGACAAGAAGGTCTCTACTGAGTCAGAGACGGCCCTCCACACACACAGACACACACACACACCTGTGTCAGCTTTGGCACCATGCTCCATGATTGTCTGACTGTGTCTGTCTTCCCAGATAAGGGACTGGCTCTCAGTACCAGGACCCGGCACAGCATCTGACCCAGAGGACGGCTCAGTTCCTGATTGCCAGATGGCTGCACGGAGCGCGGAGGAGGTGAGCAGCAGCCTGCGTAGAGGGAGCTATCCTACCTCTGCAGACTCCAACCAGGGAGTTTTCCAGGCCCTCCCACTGTCAGGGCCTCAGCAAGTATTCTTAGTCCAGCTCCCTTAATCATAGATGAGAAAACTGAGGTCTGAGCTATTAATTGACTTATCCAAGATCACAGAGGCTGTGAGAAGCAGGGCCAGAAAGAGAGCCCGGGCCACTAACAACGCCCCTGCACCTGTTCTCCTGCCGTTGTCTCGTCTGCCTCTGCATCTTTCACACGGAGCCTTTATCCCTAGCACGAGGACCTATCTTACAGGCACACAGAACCTCAATGCTCCTCACAGCAGCCCCCCAGAGACCCAGGACAGGGTTCATATGCAGGAGTCCGCAGGGGTTCACAGGTCCAGCGGAACCCCTTTGCCTGTACATCTATGACGCCCGCAGGTCCACCACCTTAGTTTCTTATCTGCCTTATTCATATTTGAGTCTTCCAGAACCAGGACCAGACCCCAGGTTCCTTTCCTCTCTTTCCCACCTCCTTCGGCCATATTACATCAAATGGGGAATGCAAGAGGGAGGGAAATGGAAGAGGAGCCCAAGCTATAGGTCCAGGCAATTAGGGGGAGATAGGCCAAACGCCCCACTGTCTCCAGATCTGAAAGAGCTTCCTCACTGCGCCCTGCCTCCAGCAGAAGTTTCTTCAATGTTGCAAGTTCCATGGAGACTGGAAATCCAGGGCCTTGACATTCCATGCACCCCACCCCACCTATCACCCCGAGCCACTCATCAAGAGAGTTGCCATGTTGTAGCCAAGACTTGAAGGCTGAGAGCAGAGCAAACCCATTGAGTCAGGCTCAGTGAACAGACATGAGCTGGAATTTGGTCCACACGTGCCCCCTCAGACAGGGAAAAACCCATACAACCACATCCGGTGGCCCTGGATGGGTGGATGAATGGATGGACGAGGGGACCTATCCACCTCGTGCCATCGTGAGCTCCTGACTCCAAAACACAGATAGTGGCTTCACTCCTGCATCTCCCACCAGTGAACCCAGTAGCCCCGGCCTCCTCCCAGGCCTGGTGATCCCAGTCCCCTTGCTGAGGCTGCACACGTGACCTATAGAACCAGGAGCCTTCTTCCCTTCTCCCTGTCTGGGCCTGGCCCCTGCACCTTCCGCGGCCCAGTCCTGACACCTGCTGGTCCTGCTACAGCATAGCCCTGGCTTTCTTCCCACCAAACTCCCCACCCTCCAGAGCCCAGCCAGAGCTGCCAAACCAGTCTGGCCACCCACCCTCCCCTCCAGTTCACACCAGCAGGGCCAGGCTGAGATTAGGTGAAACCAGGGACATGTCTTGCTCACCCTGGGAGCAAGGGGTGCTGTTCACATGAGGTCAAATCTTCTCCTCAATCCAAGCCCTCAGGCCAGGTCAGCTGGGGAATCTAGAGCCATGGAATGCGAGGGCCACCAGAGACTGCAGCCAGAGACATGCCCAAGGTCACACAGTGAATGTTGGCAGGACTTCCTTCTGCCCCCAACCCCAGGCGGCCTTGTATCACCATATTGGGAGTCCCTGAGGTGACAGGAAGACACTAGGGAAGGAAGAAACCATGGGGAAGGACGAGAGGCTAATTTATGCATCCTCACGGGGCAGGGTGGGGGGCTGTTTTGCAAACAAAATGCAAAACTTCACCCCTAGCAATTCTTCTGTGACTTCTCCCCTGGCTCCATCCCTAAACTGCCAGCAAGTCCCAGCCAGACCTCTTGGGAGGAGGGTGACACCACGTGGCTGATTTTGGTATTGCAAAAGTCCCGGTTGGCCGCTTTCCCTCCCGCTGAGAGCACACATCTGAAAATCTCACTCGGGCCCGCTCCGGGGTGCCTTGGCAAGCGAAGTGACCACTCTCAGCCTCGGTTTCCTTCTTTGTAAAACAGGGATGACACCAGCACCTTCTGGGGGGTGTGAACATCAGATGAGGTCATGCCTGTGAGTGTTTGGTATGCAGTAAGTGCTTTAGAGATTGGTCAACGGGCTCTGAGGCCCAGCCTCCCAGCCTGCTGGGACTTTGACGTGGAGAGGGCGGCTAGAGAGAGGGGCCAGGGAGAGAAAGCCGCATGTGCAAAGGCTCCAGGCAAAAAGGGCATGGCCTGCCTGGTATGCCCAACAGAGTGAGGAGTCATGTGAGGCGCCAGTGGTTTAACATGGAGTCAGGAGCAGAGGAACATGAGGCAGAGAGCTGGGCAAAGGCTGAGCCCACCAGGCCTGGCAGCTGCGGAAAGAGGTCTGTGCTCTGTCTTGGGGATTGTGAGGGACCCCCAAAGGCTTTAAGCCAGGAGCTGACATAACTGGATTTATGTTTTTAAGTCCCACTGGAAGCTGGTGTGGAGGGTGGGTTGCTGAGAATAGGTTAGGAGACAGGAGAAGGCAAAGGTGAGTCAGTCGCCCACATGAGAAATGACAACAGTGGAATTGGGAGTGGATGATGCCAAGAAGCTCGGGGACTCCAGCTGTCCTTGGGAGGCCCTGCAATTGGTGGGATGTGGGGGTGAAGGAGAGGGAGGCATCAGATGGGGCAACGGGGTGAGTGAAGGTGTCAGCCACTGATATTGGGTGCAGGGAGCTCCTGCTGATTTCACTGTGTGATCTGGGACAAGACCCAACTTTTCAGGCAATAATGACAGCCAAGCCCCAGGCCATTCCAGGAGCTCATGAAAATAGTGATTGAAAAGCCTGGCAGACAACAAGTCCTCCGCTGAGTCTGACTCAGGGCCTCTTAAAGTCACCTCTGAGCTGCCACAGGAGAGGGCTGGGGCATCCTTTCTTTGCGGAACTCCCAGTGCCAAGCACATGCCACCCACACGACTTCCACACACCAACCACATCCCATCCACATGCCTCAAAACACGTCAGTCACACGACCTCAATGCTCCTGCCACAAACCCTCCAAACAGCTTCTACATACAGACCACAAGTTATCAACCACACACCCTCAGCACACATCATCCTCACGCCATCCACACACCAACCACACACCCTCAGCACACACCATCCACACACCAGCCACACACCCTCAGCACACGCCATCCACTCACCAGCCACACACCCTCAGCACACATCATCCACACGCCATCCACATACCAGCCTCACACCCTCAGCACACATCATCCACACACCAGCCACACACCATCCACACACCAGCCACACACCCTCAGCATACATCATCCACACGCCATCCACATACCAGCCACACACCCTCAGCACACATCATCCACACACCAGCCACACACCATCCACACACCAGTCACACACACTGACCACAACCTCCACATGCCACCACACATCAGCCTCACACCCTCAAAACACATCATCCACATGCCATCCAGACACCAGCCACACACCAGCCACACACCCTCAGCATACATCATCCACACACCTTCCACACGCCATCCACACACCCTCAACACAACCTCCCCATGCCACCACATACTAATCATGCATCTTCCACATGCCACTCACATGCCACTCATATACCTTCTTCATGCCACTCACATGACACCCATATAGTTTCTTCATGCCATTCATCCTCATACAAGCATTCCATTTCCACGCCACCCTCCACCTGCCATGCCCACCACACCCACCCACATGCTTGTCATCCAGTGAGCTCAGCATCCTCCACCAGACGAGAACAAGGCATCAGGTTGGGACCCCAAGGATGTGTGCACAGCAGAGTCCCAGCCTGGCCCAGGCCCAGCCATCTCATTCCCCTGATGGGTGCTCCCATCCCCCACAGCCCAGACAGCTGCTCACCTTTGCAGGTGCAGCCTTCCTGGGTGATGACCTGGCGGCAGATCCCACAGGGCTTCACCTTCTTGAAGGTCTTCACCTTGAAGTGGTGTGTCTTGGGGGCCTCCAGATCCTCTGGCTGTGGGAGGAGAGGCACAGAGTCAGCCCTGGGTAGAAGGCTGGGGTCCTGGGGAAGGAGTAGAGGAACCTGGGGGAGAGGTAGGCAGAGACTGGGAAAAGGATGGCAAGAGCCCCTCAGGGTCCAGAGGAGGGAGGAGGTCCCAGGGACAGAGAAAGGTGTGGGGTGGCAGGACATTCATCCCAGACTCAGGTGGGGCCCGTGGCCTGAGTCCAGACAGCAGCTGGAGAGCTCAGCTTCCGGGACGTGCAGCCCCCACATGGCTTCCTACCTTGGCTTTTTTTCATTTATGACGAAGGCATGGCTCACACACAGCAGACTGCGCTCATTTTAAATGTATGGCTCGATACGTTCCACACATACACCCCACAGAGCCACCTCCCTGAAGACTCCCTCATGGCCTCGCCCATTCCTCTCCCCAAGGTTAATACTATTGTGGCTTCATCACCAAAGAGTCACGGTGCCAGATTTTTAAACTTCCTCAAGATGAAATCATCCAGTGCATAGTCTTGCGTTTGGCTGCCTTCACACACCATGAGTCTGGGGTCCTTTAGGTGGCTGCATCCAGCGCAGCTCCTCCTTCGTCCCTGCCGTGCGCCATCCCATTGTGTAGATGCAGCAGGTTTACTTGTTTGTTCTACTGCTGATAGGCCTTCGCTTCTCTAACCCATGACCCCACAATGCCATTTCCCCTCATTCTCTCCCCATTCCACCCTCTCCACCATCCCCTGCCCCAGCCCAGAAGGCTTCTTCCATCTTTATTTTTATTTTCAATTCTTTGCATTATGAAAACACAGAGATGTGGCTATCCTTTTGAAATGACACCACCTCATGCATGAGAGGCAGGCTGGTGGCCCAAGCCTTCCTCTCAGCCTGACTTACCATAAAGCCCTGGGTCAGTCGCCACTCCACCACTACCACAGTTTCTCTCTCTGGATGGCACCACACCCCTGGAGCTCTGACAGGTTGTCCTTTGAAATCACATATGGGAACATGCTCTAAGATGCAGAGCCCTGCACAGACACTGCCCAGCTTGCAGGCCCCACGGTGGGGGATGGGTGCCCCTATTTGGAGGACTCCT